TTTTATCCGCACAATTCAGAAAAACACTTGTTTTGGTTATGTATGATGTGCCATAATATGCCATGTGGGAGATTCCGTTCGGTTGAATCAGTGAGCGACGTTGCCACATGTATGCAACCCCCTCTTCTTCTGACGAATATCATTATTTTCATATCGCTTTTATTAAAAAAGTATGTGACTACGAGTCACCAATTTTGTTTATATCATTGCTAACATTATTATATACAACATATCAGTTTTTTAAAAAGTTCGTAAATTCCGATCCCTTTCATATTAAATTTAATGTGCGTTTCATGACGGCATGGAATAGGGCTTACATGTTAAATTCGTGAACTTTGAAACGAAATATTTCGCTTACCCTGTGGCTACGACATCTGAAATTTTAAGGAACGATTGTTATGCATACGATCAACATGCTAATTTTTTTAGAATTTTCGTAAAATTTTCAATTTACTCGATTACCTCCTTAAAATGTCATAAATCAGTCAGAGAGCTGCATTAGCATTTAAAAGTAAGAAAAGCTCGTGAGAGTTGAAAACATCATTTCTTCTGTATTTAACATTTGATAAAAAATAAGAACGGAACTATGAAATGAGTATTGCGAACTTTTACGGCTATTCTTTTTTCTACCTTTATTAGAAAAAAAAAGAAGACAATATGCATGAATATTGATACATGTGTATTTCAAGCTAATACTCGCAATTACAAATCTTGGCTGTGTTCCAAATTTACTATCAGCGCTGAAAATCTATAGTTTACGTTACGTACGTTACAGATTTTCAGTCAATTTTGGAATACAAGTCCTTGAACACAAGATCAATAAGTACTGATATTTTCATGTTAATTTTTGCGAATTTGATCCATTTCGGCTTCATTCATGTTAATTAGATTAGAATATTCTTCAGTTTTTATTCTCTGCATTGATATTCATTGCCCTTTTAATTTTATTCATGCATTCTTCGAAGCGTTAGGCGATGCATGATGATGCACTATGCACAACCAGCGTAACATCTATGCCACGTACGCGACGCGCGAGTCGCGCCGATGCACCTACATGACGAAGTTAACAGGGAATTCAATCGTCCCCTGACGAGATAGTCTCTCGCATTATCTCTCTGTAATTCTCTTTCTGAATATTATCAACGATAATCGTCATTCATTAAATCACTGATAACCTATCGGAGAGTACGACTCCCGATTCACGTACGAGATAATAGAGAGATTTTATTTTCCCCCAAGATTTTTATATTCATATGCTACGTTACATAATCGACGCAAGTTATATATTTATTGTATTTCTTACGAGAATTTTTGCATCGCACTGGAAATATTTGATGATGCAATTGATCGAAGATACCATTCGAATGCCATCCCGGTATCATTTTATTTTTGTTCATCGAATGTTAAACAAAGGATAAAATGATATTTAAGAAATACTCAGGTGGAAACATTGGGAACCTGAATGCGTCCAAGCTCGTAAATTAGTTTGTCATTTGTCATGAGTATTCTATTATTTACTGTTATAGAGGAGAAATTGAATGAAACTCTATTGCGTTCATTAGGTTGATTACATACACAGTTATTAAACAATATCACATGTTTGCTTTTATATTTGTCTATGTTTATATCCACATGCTAATATAGGAGATTAGAATTAACTATATTATAATTCATAGTTACAGTGGTTTACTTTTGGAATTCCCTCAAAATTCGTTTTGGCCATGTTGAATAAAATTAAACAGAAAGAATATTGCAATGAATATAATACAGTTGAGAATATGCCTCGCAGATTGCGGTGGATATTCTTATCCTGTGATTGCCCTTATTGTGAGTCACCTGTTGCTGTGTCTCTCTAATAATACGCGTTTATAATAAGCTATAGATAATTATTATAAATAGTTATATATAAATTATAAAATATATTTTATTTATTTCTTAGGTACCTCAAAAGAGCATGACACCTACATTGAGGAAGTGGTGTGCAAACAGGAAGATATCAACGAAAATGAGATGAAAATGCTGCCGTTGGGAAATAATGAAAAGAAAATTTTGTTGATTAAACAGAATGGAGAATTGCACGCGATTGGTACCAAATGTACCCATTACGGTGCTCTGCTACATACCGGCGCGTTAGGGGAAGGACGAGTGAGATGTCCATGGCACGGTGCATGTTTCAATATTAAAACTGGAGACATTGAAGATTATCCAGGCTTGGATTCTTTACCATGCTATAAGGTACTCGAGTAATTTAAACTTATCAAGATTTTATTCTTATTCTTATTCCATATTTGTTTAACAAGCTATCTCTATGTATTGCTTTAACAGGTTCGCATAGACAAGACTGGTCTTGTCCACGTAAGAGCCAAATGTACAGAGTTGAATAATAACAAACGTATGAAGGAAATGTCTGCACGTGATCCTGAAAATACGAAGACTGTCATAATAGTTGGCGGTGGACCATCGGGTGCTACCTGTGCAGAGAGTTTGCGACAGGAGGGTTTTACAGGACGCATCATTATGATATGCAGAGAGAACGTAATACCTTATGATCGGATAAAGGTATCCAAAGTGTTAGATTTCGATGTTCATTCTGCGACATTACGATCGCCCTCGTTTTACAACGAATACAGTATTGAAACGAAACTGGGAGTAAAAGCAATAGGTAAATACAAAAGACAAACACCGATCTATATATATATATACATATAAAAATCCTGTTACTTCATATTCTGTACTACATTTTTAAAATCCTGTTATAGGTTTAGATACGACTGAAAATACTATCAAGCTGAGTAATAATGAGAATTTCGTGTATGATTATCTATTTGTTTGCACAGGCAGTAAACCGAGAACGTTGAATGTGCCTGGAGCAAATTTATCGAATATTTTTGTTCTGCGAGATTATACAGATTCACAAGGCGTATATGCGCTTCTGTCCTCCGAGAAACATGTAGTTGTTCTAGGATTAGGCTTTATTGGCATGGAAGCCGCGGCTTATTGCATCGATAAATGCGCGTCTGTCACAGTAATAGGACGTGATACTGTACCCCTCAGAGCAATATTTGGCGCGGACATTGGTAATAGAATTAAAAAAGAGCATGAGGCAAAAGGTATTATATGTTATATATAACATACATTGCGTATTGGTCTGCATTAGAGTTGCAGTGTTGATTAGATAAACAATATTAAGAATCTTTATTTTAGACCGCATATGTGAGAAACATAATCAATACTAGAAATTTAAAATGCCTATTACGGTCGAAGCTGGATCTTCATTGCTTTAAATAATTCAATCTTGAATTACTAATATATACTATACAGGGTGTTAGTTAAGTATGTTCCCAAATTCAACAGAGCGATTCTTTGATTTATTTCAAGTAAAAAAGTCCATATAAACATGTGTCCTAAACGGCTTAGTTTCCGAAATAAAAAAATATAAACGTGTAGTAATAATCTGTTTATTTGAAAGAAATACAACTTGAACTAGTCAAAAACTAGTCAAAAACAGACTTCAGTTCTTCTAACGAAATAAAACAATTAGATGAATTGTTGAAAATGTCCACCTTGCGCCATGATACATCCATCGAGCCTTCTTCTCAAAGATTGACGTACACGCTCAAAGATACCAGGTGTGTTACGTATTGCCTCGCATGAAGCAACTATTCGATTCCTCAAATCATTCTCATTCTCAATTGGGGTGGGCATATCTGCCATTTCAAAATTTGTAAACTTAGGCATGATGAAACCGATTTTGATGGATTGAAACAATTTGGCTCGAAAACGTATGTACAAGCTAACTGATCCGCAGCAACATCAGGACTGAAGTCTATTTTTTATTTTGTGACTTTGACTTTGTCACTTTGTTTACGGTTGTGCGAATAGTAATTCACATGAAGCAAGGCATATTTATGCAGGAAGATATCTCCAACGCAATTTATCTTTTCGTCAAACATTTGCGAACATTCACCTGTATTTCGGAAACTAAGTCATTTAGGACACATGTTTATATGGACTTTTTTACTTGAAATAAACCAAAGAATCGCTCTGTTGAGTTTGGGAACATACTTAACTAACACCCTGTATATAAAACCTGTATATGTACTTGTATATATACCATATTGTAGTCTTTGCAAATTGCGCGTCGAATTGTTTTTCCTGACTATAAACGTAATTAAAACTACTCTAGTAATCGCGAATTAATTGATGATAGCATTAAATTATTAAATTGATAAGCAATTTAATAATTTAATGCTATCATCAAGCATATCATAAAGATTGATTAGATAATAATAATAAATGTTTTCAGGTGTGAAATTTATCTTCCAGAATAATATTAAGCAATTTATTCCTACGGAAGGTGAAGAAAACGTTTTGACCAAGATCGAACTTACAGACGGCCAGATTCTACCAGCAGATATAGTTATTGTTGGAATAGGATCCACTTTTTACACTAACTGGATGAAAACATCTTCTGTCACAATGAGGGACGATGGCACTATTCCAGTAAATGAGGTAACATTCGAAAACATACTTTTCTTAGTATATACTTCATATTAGATAATTGAGTATCAATCAAATTATAGCATTTAAGGACAAATGTGGAAAATATATATGCTGGAGGTGACATTGCTTACGCACCAATATATGGATCTGACGACACGTTCGCTGCAATAGGTCATTATTCTCTAGCTCATTATCATGGAAAAATTGCGGCTCTAAATATATGCGGTAAAGAAACTTCTTTGAAGACTGTACCATTTTTCTGGACAAATTTACTGGGTAGAAATTACAGATATGCAGGTAAATTTACACATATATAACATGTTTCTACATACATATTTTGAAATTGTAATAACCGAGTTTCGTAAAAAATTAACAATTAAACAATCTTTATCCATTTATTTTCAGGCTACGGAAAACCTACTAGTATAAAGATTTATGGTTCACTGGATAAACTAGAATTCTTCGCTTACTATCTTAAAGGTGGCAAAGTAATAGGAATTAGCAGTGTTAATGCCGATCCAGTTGTGGCAGATTTTGCAAATTTGCTTTATGAGGGAAAGACTTTAACAGAAGAAGAAATTAATACAGATCCGTTTGGTTGGATGAAAAATAAACCAAAAGATGTATTAACTCGATTTCAAGAAAGCTTTTTAGTCAATGCTCAAGCTTGAATTGTTTAACATGAACAATATAATTTAATGCTTTGAATGTTACAGTATTAGTTTCAATTTTTACTTTGTAATTTACAATGTATGACAATCTTATTAGATAAACGTATGTAACATATTTCACTGTGCTATCTTTCCTCTACTCTATGTAATATACTCGGCACTCTACTGATCCAAAATGTTGCCAAAGAAAAAAAAGAAAATTAAATATTCTTAGATTCAGAGTTGATTTAACTTAAATCTAAAACAATTCACGAAACATAATTACATATATCTGTAGAAAGATTTCAATCCCACGCTTCTGTAACTCTCATGTGGCACAGACGTTCGGTGATAGTAATTTCTTTCTGGAACCTCTGACGATTTTCTGCCCGTACCTTCTCGAGAAAGTTCTGCTTTCTGCTTTCGGGGTACATGTCCTTCATGTAACCATGACTTTGTTCAAGTGTGAGATAAGGATGCCGTAGAATCAACATATTTTGCTCTTCCCTCTCGAAATTTTTCTTCATCTTAAATAAATCGTGCATAGATGGTTTTTTAACTCTACGATATTTCCTGCATGAAATAAAGATTTAAAGTTATGAATATTCCACGTGATGATAAAAAGTATAATATTGTACGTTATGAAAAATTAAATAATTCCTATAACTGGTTAAATTAAATGAAAATTAATTCTCATGAAAGAAAAGTACTTACCCTCTGAATCTATATGGTATTTTATTTATATGGATGGTTAATAGAGCCAATCCAAGCCGCATTGTTAATCAGATTTTGTACTGTGAAATAATTGTTAATACATACAAAACTCAATTCTTATATTATTCGTGGATATATGATTCTCTTAGCTTTCAGAGTATGGTTTTTGGTTAAAGTCATACTGGTTGCTCTCTGCCATGGTTCATGGTGAAAACAAGATAGGTATGCTCATGGTGGAAGTATACATTCACGATGGGTGTGCTCGTTCCCGAGACGAATCTCGTACGGTTCTGCGCATATTCCAAATACGACCATTTAAACATTTGCACCGCGGTAATTTTAAAGTGATAGCTCGAGAAATTAAGGCTGGATTTTCATCTGATATTACGACGCTCATTTTCAGCGTCAAAACAGGTCACGTGATCAAAATTGACGAATATCAAGCGTCAATTTTGATCACGTGACCTGTTTGACGCTGAAAATGAGCGCCGTAACGTTAGATGAAAATCCAGTCTTAATGACTTCTGCACACTGGACGCAGAAACGCTTGCCGCGCGGCAAAATGTGATGCGGTAGCCAATAAGCTTACAGCTCCTAATGTGTTCATTGGTTATCGCGTCTCATCCAGTGCGCAGAAACCATAAAATGAGTATTTAAATTTTAGAGGTCCTTCACCACGCCCGCTGATCAATTGGGAAGGATCCGATTGCACACATTGCATGTTGCACACATGCGTCGCTAATTGGCTAATTTAAAAATAAAATATTCTCATTGGTAAAGCAGTGAAAAATTACTAGGCACCAGCTGATATGAGTGGTGTGTGCTATCGGGTTTGTAGGCAAACGGAATCCTCCCCTTATAGTGGCTCGTTTTTGCGAGTAAAGGTAAATTTTCACGGGCTGCTCAAACCGGCTGTTTCAGCGACAAAAAGAATCACGTGGTCAAAATTGACGAATATCAAATGCCCATTTTGATCACGTGATCCTTTTTGTCGCTAAAATAGCCGGTTAGAGCAGCTCGTGAAAATTTACCTTAAGGGTGCCGTCACAAGGAGGGCTCCGATTGCACACATGGCATATAGCACACATGTATCGCTGATTGGCCAATTTAAAAATAAAATAATCTCATTGGCAAAACAGTGAAAAATTACTAGGCACTAGTTGATATGAGTGGTGTGTACAATCAGAACTGTAGGCAAACGGGATCCTCCC